AGATGGCACAGCGCAGCTCCCACGCCAGACTCCAACGCACGTACTCCAAACTGTGAGAATGCAGAATGAGACCGAAAACAGATAACAGCTGGGGTATACCCCAACGGACTGACGAGACTGGATTGGACCGGCTGGTACCGACAGAGGTACCGACCTGGACTGGACTGCCCCGAATAGAACACATGCCTGTGACAACAGGCAAAGGGGATGGTCTCACAGGCCAACCATAGGTCCGCTACACGATCCTCGGCCTGTAATGGATCGCCTAGATACAAGCACGCTTCCGCCAAGAAGCGGAACTTTACCAAAGAAAAAGAAAACCTGAGTCGTTTAGGATGCGGAGCAAGCTCCATGCCGAGTTCATGTGATGCAACCTAGGATAGAAAATGTCACAAAAACAGCAATGTCACAACTAACAACCTAAGTGAAAGCAAAAGCAACTAACTAGCATACATGTCATAGGAAAGCAGAAGGTAATGACAGCTAGGTCCTAGAATGTTGGAGGCAGTAGCCTCACTCTGGAAACAGTTGACTAGTGTATAAGTCCTAAGAACAGCAAAAGCAGAACAACTAAATCCTAGAAATGTCAGAGGTTGTAGCCTCAGTCTGAGAGCAACAAGCTAAAACAAGACAACCATATGTCACATGAAAAGTGTGTTGCAAACCAAAGGGTGGGATAATGTCTGAGGGTGGCGAATGCAGCCTAGGGGTCGATAACTCCTAAGGGCATCCACATATAAATAACAGGAAGACACATGTCATTAGGCTCAATGAGGGTAGGGAACTGGGAGCAAACAGAACCAATGACCCTAACAGATAGACCATCAGGGCAGGTAATGCTCGACTAAAGGGGTAACCGCTATGAAGGGTCGACCATGCAAGGGAACAAGGGAGCCTGGTATACTGGGTGCACCTAGATAAAGCATGTGAGGCTGCCTAACTAGGGCGTGAGGGTCGGCAGAGGGTAGAAAGGTGATGGGTAAGGAAATCATGCAAATGACTCCTAAAGTGAGGGAAGTCGGAGCTAGATCCGTAAGCTTGGAAGCCAGGGCAACGCTACGGTCCCGATCCCTCTGCGTATACCAAAGGAGAGCCCAACTCAGAGGAACTCGGCGAAGGGAGACCATCATGTGACACAACCAAGGTACTATAACGAGAGTGATGACGTCTGAAGTAGGCAAAGCTGATCGTGACGAAGTTCATGAAGCTGCCGATGACGTCCACGATGAGAAGTCCGGAATGTCGTCGAGGAAGAGTTGCAACGTCGACGAGCTGAAATAGCAAAATCGGAGTGGATGGAACTGAGAAGTCAAAGACGTGGGAAGGTAATTTAGAGTCAATCATCGTATCGAGCAGGACGACACCGAGTGCGCTCTGGACACTCAAAAGCATCCAGCTGTTGTTAAAGGTCTGCCTTAGAAGGAGCAGGCTCGACTTCAGCGGTCTCCTCAGCCGAGGGAGAAGGAGGAGGGTCAGTGGGTTGAAGAAGAGCAGTCGACCCAGCCCGACGAGCACGGTCATAGGCACGCACCAACATGGGAGCGTGCTGCAAGTGCTCGAGGGGCTCCCAGGTAGCCTCCTCATCAGGGTAACGCTTTCAAAGTATGAGATAGTACTCGACATTGGGATGGTTGTCGGTGACTCGGCCACCAATCATGATGTCTAAAACGAGGAACTCCTTGTGGCCGTCCACCATGATAGGTGGAGGGCGCTCGTATGGTCGTCCACCGAAACACTCGGACGGTCTGTGGTAGAGACGCAGTAACGAGACGTGGTAGACATCGTGCACACGAGCCTGGTGTAGGTAGTCGGGCAACTTCACACGGAAGTTGACCGGGCTAGAAGCCGTATCAGAACCAATGGCCTGGAGAATGCGGCATGGACCAAAGAAGCGACGCCGAAACTTGCGAAGCGTGTCCGCTTCGAGCTGTAAGCAGCGGGCGTCGATAAACACATCATCACCGACTTTGAATGAATGATTCATCCTCGATCGGTTCGCACGTGCGGCCATGCGAGTCTGGGAAGCGGTTATGTGCTCATATGTGGTTTTCATGATCGACGTCATGTGTGCAACCCAATCATCCAACGCGGGACAGCTCGTGTCGGGGTGCATTTATGACGGTCGAAGGAAGTCCGCGAGAACACGAGGGTGATAGCCGAGGTCAAATAGTAAGGCGACATCCCCGTGGCTGGCGAGACGGCGTGGTTGTAGGCTATCTCCGCGTGGGCAAGATGAAGATCCCACTGCTGGTCGTCACGAACAATCTTTCGGAGAATATCTCCGAGAGTCATGTTCGTGACCTCAGTCTAACCATAAGTCTGGGGATGGTAAGACGAGGAGAAGCGGAGCTAGGTGCCGTAAACCTCGTGCCGTAAACCTCGTGGAGTGGCTCTCGGGTGCCCTGTAAATCGTGCCAGTACACAAGACCTTTGTCCCCGAGAGAGTAGTTCGGGACGGTCTTGCCACTCCGAAGGGTCGCGTGGATGTCGCGATAGTCGGGGCAGTGGCGGTACTGAGTGCCAAACTCGTCGATCACCGAGTGGTGGACGGAGGTGACCGAGATGGAAGCTAGCTGGATCTGCTCCTGATTGTGGTCCGGGCGCCGGGATAAGGCATCTGCGACCCGGTTAGTCTCACCCTTAATGTGCTCAGTGGGGAAACTAAACTCAGATAGGTCGCGCAACCAGCGAGCCTGTCGTAGGCTGTCGAGGAGTGAGCTTCGGTTTTATCAGAAAAGCCTGGACAACAGAGTTGTCAGTGCGCACCGTGAATGGTTCCCCGTGCAGGTACTGACGCCAGTGACGACCGACATAAACTATTGCGAGAACCTCACAATCATCAGCAGTGTAGTTTATCTCGGCGGGCAGAAGTTGGCGGGAGTAGCAGGCTATCAGACAATCACCTGAGCGAGACTCGACAGTGTCGTCATCGACGATGGCAGGAGAATAGTCAATAGAAGGCTCGTCAGTAGCTGGACGAGTAGGCGTCAGGGGGGAGGCAGTGGTAGGGATAGGGGGTGGGAAGCGAGGGATACGAGGATGAGAGGAATCAGGAAAGGAGGGGAAAATCTAAGAAAGCACTGCTCCTACGACAAAGTTTGACGCATCGGTGATAAGGATAAAAGGGAGATCAAAATCGGGTAGGTGAAGAACCGGTGTGCATGTCACCGTCTTCTTGAGGGCGCGGAAGGCGTGCTCGTGGAGGGGTGCCCGAGCCCAAGGCGGGTTCTTCCGGAGGAGGGTGGAGGTAAGGACGTAGGGACACCTAGCATATCCCTGGATGAAATTACTATAGTAGCTAGTAAGGCCTAGGAAGCTGCGAAGCTGACGGGCCACTCCTCGATAGCAGTGATCTTTGCGTCGTTCATGTGGAGACCCTGGTCAGACACGTAGTGTCCTAAGAAATTCACTTTATGCTGGGCAAAGCGGCACTTGCTCAGCTTGGCGTAGAAGCCGTGTCTGCGCAAGCAGTCAAGGACGTCGCAGAGGTGTCTAAGGTGCTCCTCAAGGGCACGACTGTAGAGCAGGATATCGTCGAGGTGAACGAGAACGTACAGCTCCAAAATATCCCTGAAGATGTCTTTCATCGCCCTCTGGAAGGTAGCGGGTGTGTTGGTGAGGCCGAATAGCATCACCGTAATAGTGGCCGAAGCTCGATCGGAACGCTATCTTCGGCTGGTCCGCTGTAGCAACGCGGATCTACTGGTAACCGCTACGAAGATCAATCTTCGTAAAGAAGTGGTTGCCTGCTAGGCGGTCCAACAACTCGTCGGTTGAGACTGTGATAGCCGATGCAGAGACGGAGAGTTTCATCCGCTTTGCGAGCAAAGAGGACGGGTGCACTCCACAGGGAGTTGTTGGGTTTAATAAAACTCGGTCTCAGGAGCTCCTCAAGTTGACGCTTGAGTTCAGTGGCCTCGGGGATCGAGAGTCTGTAGGGTGCCTGGTGATGAACACAATAGTCAGCTACAAGCTGGATGGAGTGCTCGACGTCGCGCATCGGTGGGATTTCAGCGTACGAGAATGACGATGGAAAAATGTCGTAGTACTCTCGAATGAGGTCACGAACTGCGGGCTCAAGGTCAGCCGTATATCGTGTGAGTTCCTCAGCGTCAGCGTCAGCACGCGATGGCCGGGTGGACTCGACGGACGGCGGAGGAACGAAAGTAGAGATGGGAGCCATGGAGATAGAAGGAGGATCTGGCTCCAGAGGGATGAGCTCGGCATTGGGACAGGGTAGATCATAGTGTAAGAGATCCGTCACGTTCACCATAAAGAAGGTGACGTCATCCTGTTGGATGAAGTGAGCAAACTGCCAAGGCGAGGTGACAGTCATAGAAGGAGATGGTGTGGGCACGGAAGGCTCCAGGGGAGAAGGATCCGGGCGTGGTGTCTCAGTGGTACTTATGAAAGGTACGCGCTGTCCACACTTCGTTTTGAGAACGAGAGTGTTGGTCGCCCAATCGGCCTCGGTGCTGCGGAACCGACGAGACCACGGAGTACCGAGAATGAAGTCGTACTCTGTCTGCATCACATCGAAATGTGCGGAGGAGCGGTGGCGACAAGAAGTCGGGGAACGATCAGTCGGCTCGAGAGTAAGGAAGAAAGGGAGGTCAGTGGCCGTCTCATCGAAGAAGCGCTGGGTCTAGGGTGACAGAGATGGGAGTCGGAGACCTGGTCGTGGGTAAGCGGGCTTCTTTCACCACATGTGGGTGAATGAAGTCGCCCTGAGAACTAAACCCCACAGCGCTGAGTACACCCTCGTGGAGGTCCCCTGTCGTACGGGGATGATCGGGAGGGTGCGATCAGGGTCAGAGAGGATGGTGAGAAGGTGATGCAGTGCAGCGACGTAGAGGGTGAGTCGCTCCCGACGGGCCTGGAGCATGCTCAAGTCGAGAAGAGAGGACACAACGTCCTCGCCAGTAGCGAGGTGCTTGCTGCAACGGGCTGAGCGAATGGCTCAACGCGTCGATAGTCGTGGCAGGGTAGAAGGGGAGACGGTGGTCTGCGGAGGCGCAGACGGTACTGCGACAAAGGGCTGAGAACACTGTTGGGTCCTGCGAGACCTCAACTCCAGTAGTGAGAGGGGCAAACCGGGACGGGGATGTCGAAAAACCGATTACTGAGGAGGGCGCAGGTGTACAATGCACCAGCGCTAGGAGGTGTCGCGGGGATGCGGGGCCCCGGGGGGGGACTCAGCACGACGCTGGTCGGAAATGTCAGAGTAGTGGCGGTCAAGGGCGGCAGTGTAAGGGCACCGCGAGGAGGTATGACCGTCCTGGCGGCAACGCTAGCACCCACGCCGGCCCAAAATAGTCACTCGCTCCTCAACGGAAAGGACACCGCGAGGAGGGACAAAGCCCTGGGGGAGGTCCTTCTGAGGGACCCCGGGGGGCGACGCTCCAGAGTGACCGGGGCGACTGGGTTCCCGGGAGAGGGCGGAGGGGATGAGCTGGAGGCACTCGACCATAGGGGGAGTACAATCCTCCAGGTGGTAGTGGACGAGGTCGAGGTCGTCGCTACGGCCACCCTCGGGCGACAGGGGGGCAACAGCGTCCTACTCACCATACTCGAGCGCGCTGAAGCGGAGCGAGAAGTGGCGGCCCTGCTGCGCGGAACGGCGGGGGCGACCGCGGAAAGGGGAACGACGTTGGGAAGTGTCATGAGAAGAGGAGGAGGTGTAACCAGTACGCTGAGGCGAGAAGGAAGAAGTGGATTGAAGACGGGCCCGCATCCGCTGATGGTCCCTAGCGGCCTCGTAAGCCTGCGGGGCCGATGTGAAATCGTACCTCCATAACTCGGAGCGGTACTCAAGCGGAAGGCTGGCGAAAAAACGATCAATAAGGGCAGCCTTGGGGAGGAACACCACGTCACAAATGAGGCGGACATCCTGAAAGACCTGGATGTGGCGATCCAGGCCTGCAGCGCCACCAGAGTCGGACGAGCGTGTAGTGACGACACGCTCGAAGGCGTCAGTCGAGTGATGTCGGGCTCCGAAGCGATCCTCGAGGAACGCCTGGAAATCCATGAAGGTCGGAGTCCGACCTGCATGAAGGGAGTAAGCATAGAAATCCTCCCAGGCGTCAAAAGGGCCGCCACGCAGGCGCGTGGAGAGGTGACCCACCCACGTGTCGGTTGGGGCGCCCATGAGCTGGAGGGTGCGGGTGGCAGACTGTAGCCACCGAGACACGCGTATGCTTGTACCGTCATACAAGGCAATGTCTGTCAAGCGGACGAGTGGTGCGTCACCGTTTTGGAGCCGAGGGGATTGAGGAGCAGAGGCTTGTGCCATGGCTGGGTAAGTCGGCGCAGGTACTGGAGAAAGGGGCGCAGTTGAGGATACGCCTAGGCCGCATGTGGGAGCGGTGGGGGCAACAGCGACAGGCTCCGAGAGAGCTGCGGTAGAAGAGGTCGCAGCAACCGAGGGAATAGGAAGAAGATAGGATGGGGCTGGATAGGGTGCAGGGCGAGGAAAGCGAGCCTGCATGGAAGGAAGGAGGAGATCCACCCGAAGGTGCGGCCACCTGTGAGGGTGAGGGTGGCTGAAGGCGTAAGAGGGCGAGGTCGGCCTGTGTCTGGGCAAGCTCGTCCTCGGGACGTTGGACGTATATCGAGCGAGGAGTGGCAGGTGGAAGAGTGGGGGGAGTGGACGCACGAGCGGCGCGGGGCATCCCACAGGGGGGAGAGCCAGATGGCGTTGCGGTCGTGCAAAGGGGAGGGGGATGCGGGGCACCCGGAAAAACTGAGACCATGGTAGCAGGTTGTGGCCCCGTGGCCGTAGTAACCGGAATCTGGGCAGGTGCGCCCGTAGACTGAGGAGGGTCTGACCCGTGGCGGTCATGCTAGGAGCGTGGACGGTCACCAGGATGGTCGGGTCGGGGGCGGCAGAGGAGGAAGCTCCGTCGTGGCCACCCTGTCGGAGGACGGGGGACCCGGACTGGAAGCCAGAAGAAGAGAGAGAGTGAGGAGACCTAGAGTTGTCGCGGACCAGCGGCAAGAGTCGTCATTTGCGCCTGTAAGAGCGCAAGGAAGTAGGTGATGAGGGTGTGCAGGTCCCCTTGGGGCTGGTGGCCCTGGTCCGTCTACACGGATGCGGAGCCCGATGCCGAGGTCATCGCCGTCTCGGCGGCTTGTGACACGCCATCGGCCATGGGGAGGTAACGGGCCGGGCTAGGGAGGGTCGGAGGAGGTCCGCGAGCGGAGGAAGTAGGGGGAGGTCTGCGATATAAAGTCACGGGCGGCGCTAGTAAATCGAGTGCGGACGCCGTCAAAGGGGGAGGGGTGGTTCGAATCCAAGGTGGCCGAATGAGAAGGGAAAGTAAAAGGGGTACCGGTGACCTAAACCGTAGAAAACCCTAAGAAAACCCTAACCGGAGTTTGAGTGGTTAGGGTAGGGTACCGGTGACCTAATCAAGAAAATAAAATAGCAAGCATTGGAGGGAAAGGTGGGAGAAAAATAAATAATTAGCGAGATTTCAAAAGAGAAAAATAAAAATAAATAGGGAAATAAATAAATAATAAAGATAATTAAAGAACTGAGGAAATAAAATATGAAGAGATAAATAATTTTTTATTTTTTTGGAATTTTCGGGAGCATTTCCCTACCCCCCATGAGATCAAGAATGTGCCAAGGGGGAAGGAGAGACCAAGATAAGCACACTAGGTTTCAAAATGCCGCAAATTAAAAAGTTTTGAAAATAAATAAAGAAATAATAAATAAATAAATAAATAAATAGATAAATAAATAAATAGATAAATAAATAAATAAATAAATAAATAAATAAGTGGATGAGGAGGTGAAGAGAAATGAAGTATTTGATTTTTCAAAACTTTCGGCAACATTTCGTTACCCCCATAAGGTCAAAGTCTGGTGAGAAAGACAAAGTGAAGGAAAAAACAGAAAATTTCGGCAACACTTTGTTACCACCACGGCGTCAAAATGTGTGCCGAAAGCAAGAAAGACCAACTCGTAGTTTGATTTAAGGGTGCCGCAAAGAAATTCGAATTTTCTGAATACATTAAAAAAAAAAAAAAAAAAAAATCGGAAAATGAGAAGGGAGGGGGGGAAATAAGA